GTGGGACCAGGGGAGGCAGCAGAGGGTGGAGTGACCCAGGGGTCATGAGCCTCAGGACAGTCTCTGGGTGGGGGTGAGGGTGGTGGGGTGCGATGGGGAGGCTGGACCTCAGCTGCCCTCCCCAGACCCACACTGAGCTACCCACAGACAGGGTGCAGCAGGAGCTGGATGAGGTGCTGGGTGCTGCCTCTGCCATCTGCTACCAAGACCGAGAACGCCTCCCCTACACCTGCGCTGTCCTCCACGAGGTACAGCGCCTCAGCAGCGTTGTGGCTGTGGGTGCCGTGCGCCAGTGTGTGACCTCCACCCATGTGTGTGGCTACCCTGTACCCAAGGTAGGTGCCCCTGTGCAGCCCCATGCCTGCCCATGTCCTTCCTGCCCAGCACAGCCATCTGCTATGGCTTCTGCCAACCTCCCGGCTCTCCATCGATCTATCCATTAGTCATCTATCTATCTATCTGTCTATCTATCTATCAATCATAACCCCCCATTTAGGATGAGGGATTATGACTATAAAAGAATGTACTCACCAAGGGATAATTTTTAAAGTTCCCTGTCACTCAGAGATAACCCTTGCAGATCTCTTTCCAATCTTCTTGTACTTAAATACATTTTACATCGTTGTGATTATGCTGCCCGTATCATCCAGAATCCTTTATTTCCCTTAACACATCATTCACATTCTTCTACATCAGAGTCCCTGGAAGGCTTGTTAAGACAGACAGTGCTGGGTCCCACTCCAGGGTGTGCGGGGTCGGGCCTGAGAATTTGTTTGTGTAACAGGTTCCCAAGCAGTGCTGATGCTGTGGGTCTAGGAACCCACCACGCTTTGATAATCACTGCTCTGGCCGGTGTGGTGGCTCACACCTATAATCTTAGCACTCTGGGAGGCCAATGCGGGTGGATTGCCTGAACTCACAAGTTCAAGACCAGCTTGAGCAAGAGTGAGACCCTATCTCTAAAAAAAATAGCCAGGCATCATGGCAAGCACCTGTACTCCCAGCTCTTTGGGAGGTTGAGGCAACAGAATCTCTTGAGCCCAAGAGTTTGAGGTTGCTATGAGCTGTCATGTCATAACACTCTACCCAGGGCAATAAAATGATACTGTTTCAAAAAAAATAAAAAATAAATAAAACAAAAGCCCACTGCCCATTCCTCTTAATGGCAGCATAAAGTTCCACAAAATGGATATTTTGTAATTTTTAACCCTTGTTGGTGAATAGTTAGGCCATTTACAGTTTATGTGCCCAAGGCTTTGTCTGTATTTTGAATTACATCCTTAAAACTGGTTTCTACCAGAAAGGCCCTTCTTGTTTCTTTCATTTTATAACAAAGTTAAGCAACTAAGGATAGAAGAGGCTATATAAACTAAGTCAAGAATGGCTTCTTCATATGCACATGTTACATGGAGGCGTTTTGCATTGCCTGCTGGTCTGACTGGCTGATGCTGAGCTGTCCTTGGCAGGAATTGGCCAAAAAGTTCATAGGTTTGTCAAGTGTCTCTGAGAATGGGAGGAATAGACCATGTTGCCAGTTCATCTTACAGCTGGCATGGCAGGTTTTCTAGAAGCTGCGCCAGATTAAATCGAGAAGAGAGGACCAGAGTTCAGCTCTGTTTTGTGCCATTTGTGATTAGAAATTTCCTTATTGAGAGCCCCTTCCTGCCAATTTGACTCTAGATAAAGGCTCCAGGGGACTCTTAATAACCTGAAATCAATTTCGAGCTTTTACAACTTGGGTGAGAGATAAATGCTGAAAGTGGAATCAAAGTTTGACAGTAGATCATTAAATGTTAGAGCTATTCCCAAACTGTTCCTATTTCATCGGCTGAGTGATGGTGAAAACAGCAATGCTTCCTGATACAGTGGTTGCATTCAAGCCTGTCTCTCTTCTGACTTGCTATTTGCTTGTGAACTCTAGTGGGAAGAAGCTGGCATAGAGTTCCTAGAAGGCACCCAGCTGGCAGATGGCTCTACAATATGGGGAGAAGGAGGATTGCCCTTTTTGTGTGCTAGATAAGCTATGTTCTGAACCTGTCCCATGAGCTAAAACCAGTCAGTCACTTTGCAAGGCAGCCAGAACATCATGCAAAACAGGATACAAATAATTCCACAGTGAAAAGAACATCTTGCTAGGAGACTCTTTCTCCGAAAGTTATTATTATTATCATTATTATTATTTTGAGACAGAGCCTCAAGCTGTCCCCCTGGGTAGAGTGCCATGGCATAGCTCACAGCAACTTCCAACTCCTGGGCTCAAGCAAGTTTCCTGCCTCCGCCTCCCAAATTGCTGGGACCACAGGCACCCGCCACAACGCCTGGCTATTTTTTTTTGGTTGCAGCCATCATTGTTATTTTGGTGGATCCAGGCTAGATTTGAACC